ACAATTTCTGCTGATTCAACTGAACAAAATCAAAGCACTAAGTTCTAGTATTGAACATATAGTTAAATGGTACCTTTTAAGTCGAAAACCGTTTAATGATGAGAATAAATTATAAAGCCATGAGTCAAGACAGAAGTATCAAAATTTGAAACAATTTGGGTGTACCTTACAACCAAAAATGTAATAGTTGCAAAGATAAAGAAAGAAGAATAGATGATCACTTTCTGTTTCTGGACATATGTTAAGGTCTTGCAAAACCACGACTTTCTACTATAGAACTCCGAAGCCTGACGAACATTCTAAACATGGATTTTCAATCATTTAATTTTCTTTATCAAAACTGAGATTTTTATAACTACGCTTGTGGTATTAAAGCGGCGTCTATGCGCTAGCTCTGCTGCCACTAAATCCAACCAACTAATAACGATTGAAGCAAACAATCCTTTAATTCTCATTAAATCTATTTGAGGCTTCTTCTACTTAATTAAGGGTTTTAAATAATTATATGTGAGTACATAACTATGAATTTGTTCGTATTATCGTAGTACTCGTACTATGATGAATCAAATATTGAAGTACTATGATATTAGCAGATAGAAGTCAGTCTTTAAAAAGTGTGGTGTTTAAAGGTGTAAAAAAATTTTCTTTGTAGTTATTATAGAGAAGATATAATTACTAAGAGCACTAATAAATTTTTATAGAACATGAGAGATCACTTTTTACACCAGCTACATCAGTGGTATTAGATTATAAACAAATTACAAATACAAATATCATGTTAAAAGTATAATTTTAAATGTCATATTACCCTCTCATCCCAGTGCGTAGGGTATTATAAGTATTTCTAAAAACATTTTTTTTCTACATATGAGTGTTTCCATTTAAAAATCTATTTCCGTTTCGTTTGGGCAGGGACAGGGACAGGTACAGTGATAAGCTTAAGTAAACTTCTATACAATATGACATACCATTTACAGCAAAGATTAAATTCTTATTATATGTTAAAGTTAAAAAACTTAAGATAAGTCACAGGAACACATGCTTTTGCTGTTTTGGTTAAATTTTTTACTATTTTCCTCCTTTAAAAAAATAACAAAGAAGAAAAAGTCATAATAATAAAGTGAATTAATTAATAGAAATATGAAATATGAATACAAATAAAAAGAATATTCATCTCACATATAAATTTTTACATGCAAATAAAACGTATACAAAGTATAAATTATCTCACATTAAATACATTAAAAACGGAAGCAAAATTAAATTCAATAAAATAATGAATAATGGATATGAAATACGAATAATTAAAACAGTTGCTATGAAATATAAATCGGAACAAAGAAGAATATATAATGATAAAATCATTTTTACAAAGAGCTCATAATAAAATTATTTTTCTTTATGCAAACATAATTAATATGAAATCCAATTACATATAATTAATTTTAAAAAATACAATTTCAATTATATTTATTATTAATATTTGTAAGCTATTTTTATGGAATTATATTTCATGTAAATTGATTAATTTTGAGTAATAATAAAAGTATTTAGTGTAGTGGAAATTATGTATATCTGATTAAATTAAAATATTTTAATTTATATATTTTCTTCATATTTCTTTATATTAATTAAAATTGTATCATAAATGTGGTATGATTAAATTTTATTGAATATTAGTTTGAAAGATTAGTTTGTTGATATGAAATTGCTTGATGAAATTTTAATACGGTTTGTTTAATTGAACCCCCCTCCTCCCATAGTATTTACGTGGCTTACACACTTCAGTAGGCATATAGAAGTTTTTGTTATGAATTTTTAAATTAAATCAAAAAATTATTTTATTTAATTTTTCCATAAATTTTTCATAACCTACATATCAATATAAACATAAGTCAAAAACATACTCTAAATTTCTATTAATTTATATGCATAATCTTTTTAACAAAGGATATCCTTACAGAAATTGGAAATCACTCGAGCGATAAATTATGTATTTGTATGTTTCGGAGTGTAAAAAGAAAAGACCTATCAAAAAATTTATGAAAGTGAAGAAAATCATTCGAGAGTAATTCAGTGAGTAAAGGAAATACTTTAAATATTTTGAATTAAGCATACGCAAGCAATTTTATAACATTTTTATTTTGCAAATGCGTTACTCATACGCAGTGATGTCCACAAAAAAAAATAATAATTAACAAGCAAAAGAAACAAATCTTTTTAACAATTTCAATTTCGTTGTATTGAGAAATCAATGTAATTATATTCCTAATAATATATCCTAGTTAGAAAGGTGTACATGAATCCAACACCAGAATTTCGGAGGCAACGGGCACATGGTCGAGTGTCTTCCAAGCTGAAATTCACGCAATTAACTTACGCGTAAGATTTAATATCCTCAAAAAGCTGTCTGGCTCGAGAATTGTTATTTACTCTGACAGCCAGACTACTCTTAAAGCTCTGTCTTCTTGGATTTTTAAGTCCAAACAGTTCCTTGCGTGTTATGAGCTTCTACAGTTACTTACAGCTCGAAATAAGGTAAGCCTTTACTGGGTTTTGGGTTACAGAACTGCATCAAAAAATGCTTTCACAGACTCTCAACCCTTTTGTGGGTTGAACTGGTTTAGTACAAAACAAATTATCAAGGAGAGGGAAAATCATATGCAGCTGGAGTACTAGGACGACTTTCCGGGACTTAGATAAAGCAAAGCACTGATGAAACCGTAATCCTACAAAAACATTCTTAAATTCTCAATATGTTATTTAAGGTTAATAACGGGTTTTATTACCTGGAATAAAGCTGATAACCTGATAACGGGCCTGAAATATCACATTCATAAACTACGATTATCTAGTAATTCGGAATGCAGATTATACCTTAAAGATAAGGAAACTACTATGCATATTCTTTGTGACTGTCCAGCTTTAATAACGCACAGAAGAAACTTGTTTCATATGGAATTTCTAACACCAGAACAGATTAAGAGGCCGTCTCTAGATTTAGCTCTGGATTTTGTTCATAACGTAATAAAGGGTTTTGTGTAGTCAATAGTGAAATTGGAACAATAGAACTCTTTTGGCCGTTGTATCAGTTGTTGGGCGATTTCACGTCAAAGCTTTAATAATAATAATAGGTTGGAAAGATTTATTTTTAAAAAATTCTGTATATTTTATAATCAGTCTTATATGTTAACTAATAGTTTTATATTTATATAATTAAAAATTTAGCATATATATACGATATTTAAAACTTATTTGTTAGTCATAAGGAAATTACTTTATTTATATTTGCTATTTATTTTTTATTGTCAACTACTCTTACTTTCACCAATGTTGCTCTACAATCAAATATTCTGAACAGTGCATGGCTTCCAGTTTAAGTTTGAAAAAGTATAAAGAACCCTAATTACAAGCCAATTTCATTCGAATTTTGAATTCAACTAAACTGCAAGTTGAGTTAGTAATCCAGTATGCTTGCTTACTTTAACAACATAAAAGGATCTTTGACATTTTCAATTGGTCTCTAAATGAAACTTTCACAGTAATTAACAAAATTGAATTTCTAAGGAAAGTTGAACTTTCTTTTAGTTTTAGAATAATTTGCTGCCACTTTAATTTTTTGTCAAAAAGTTTCAATTTTTAATTGATATTTCAAATCTATGGAAAAAAAACTAAAATTTCTTTTTACATTACTACAATTACTACATTATATTTTAAAAACGATTTTAGAAATGAGTACTTAAACAATTCATTTGAAGAAAATAGATTAAATTATCAAATATAATAATTTATTTACAATTAATTTATCTATATTAATAATAAGCTAATTGTGAAATGTTTAGTTATCTTTACGAAACGTTTAGTCCACTCCATTAGTCCACTTTAATAAATTTTTATATCTATTGAATTTTGTTCTAAGATATGTAATCTCTACAATTCTTGAACATCCTGCGTTTCTTCCAATAGATCCACAACTAGTGATTTATACCGGTACTCGATGTTTAAAGATATATTCAAATAAAGCTTTTCAGAACTAAATCCTTTATATAAGGATCATCTAAATGGACACATTTACTAATACCAAACAATGACATCTTCGTTGTTATTTCAAGCATTTTGTGTCGAAATCGTTTCAGTCATTCTTCATGGGAGCTATTAGTTATGCTTCAGTGCTCTATTCCATATAAACAGATTGATACTAAAATGGCTTTGTCAAAGAGAACTTAAGAACGAAAGCTCAATTTAGTTCTTGGACCTAGTACCCTGTCTTTCATTCTTTTTTTGTTTTTGAAATAAGCTTTGTTTTTTGAATAGTTCATTCCACATTAATCTTCCAACTATTCTAAATGATGCATAGCTAAAATACAGGCCCTGGTAGTTATCGGAATGGTATATTCACCATGTTTCACTAAAGAGCAATTATTTGTCCTTATAATGAACTTTTCAGTATTGATTTTCATCTTTTAGTGTTTGGACTGAGTTTTTAAGGAGTTAAACCCCTTTTGAAATAGTCAAGTAACAATTTCTGCTGATTCAACTGAACAAAATCAAAGCACTAAGTTCTAGTATTGAACATATAGTTAAATGGTACCTTTTAAGTCGAAAACCGTTTAATGATGAGAATAAATTAATAAATAATTAGTATTTAAGAGAGTGAAATCAAAAATAAATAGAACAAATTAAATTATGGAAATTTATTGAGAGAAATCTCCTTTAAGTAGCAAAGCTTGTGCTGACAGATAAAACAGAGTGCAAGGGGTCATAATGGCGAATTATGATGATAGGTCATGATAATGACTGCAGTTTTTAACATTTTATACTTCAGTAAATTATATTGAATGATGGTTAATAATTCATCCATTAATAGATTATTGTCCACAGTATTATGCAAGAAATAATACTTACTTACTTACTTAGTAATCTACTATGTTTTACTATTTTAACTATATATATTATAATATGCTTTTAATAGATATAAATGTACTAATGTTTCATTTCAATTTAATTTTATCATATGTGCTTTATTTGTTTAAAGTGGTTATAATATATCACTATTGATGGGAATGGTGACGGCACTGTTGGAGTTTATTTCTAGTGGCATTAACCGTTAATGCGTGAGAAAGGTATATCAATATTCAAGATGTGGTGAGCATATAACTTTCATAATTCAAATGGATGTGTATTATTCATTAGACGTAAAGTAAATATATCAATAACTAAGATGTGATAATCATAAGATTTCAGCAGTTTAAAGCGATCCTCTAGGCTTGAGCTAAATATATCGATATTTAAAATGTGGTGACCTCAGGTAACCTTGGACTTCCTCAGTTCAAAGTGATGTGCATTATCCAATAGTTGGGAGCTAAATATATCAATATTTATGATGCGGTGACCTTTTGACTTCTTCGGTTCAAAGTGATATACATTATCCTTTAGGCGTGAGTTAAAAATATCGATATTTAAAATGTGGTAACTATATGACTTCCTCAGTTCAAAGGGATAATTTTTCCTTTATTTTTTCCCTTAGGGGTATTAAGTATTACGCGTGAGTTACATATTTCGATATTTATGATGTGATGTCCATACGATCTCCTCAGTTGAAAGAGATGTACTGCTTAGATAAACTGTTGTAATGAATTGTAGACAACACACGTCATGGATGCATAGCAAAATAATATCACACACATTAACAATAATCACAATCATCGGTATCTTAAACGAGAATTTGTTACAGATGTCAGTCTATGAAAACTTAATTAAGTAAATAACTTTAAAGTACTACTTTAAAATCAAGTGACTACTTCATGACTACTTCAGAGCAAGGAATATTTTTATATATTGAATATAATTTATAGTAATTATTAAAATATATTTGAATGGGACTTAACATTTATACTTACTGAGTTTGCTTTTGCTGTTGATTAATTGCAAAATTATTCTTATTCCGGAAGAAGTAAAAGAAAAATTTCACTTCTAATCATTTTACCAGTTCTTTGATTGCTGATTTATTTTGAGAGAATAAGTGCAGTTTCCAAAATGGATGTGTATAAATTCATTATATCTTTTCCTTGATATGATCCACCGATAGTTGATCTACTTCTCGTAGATCATTAATTTGAAAAAAATTTGTTTCTTTGTGCATTCTATCTCTTATTTACGCAAACGTTCTTCTATGTCCTGAACCATTTTTTTGACTTTTGTAGAGATAGGTCTGCCAATGTCAGCTTCAAAGAAAGGTGTCGGTTCTTCTTTTTTAGTGCGTTCTGAATATTCAGTGATTTCTATTAAAATTTTAAAATTAGTTAAGAATATCAAAATATTTTTCTTCAGGTATATTACTTAAAATAATATAACATACTTAGCTATTCTATACAATACACATCTTTGTTTTACTTACATATATAACATATAAATAAATAATAACTTTATGAAATATATATTATACACAATAAAAATAATTTAATGTTTATATGTATATATACATTGTGACCGAAAGGTTTTCGGAGGTTCTCATTTAAAATTCGCGCGCTGTATATTTTTCGATATTTTAAGTTTATGTAGTTTGGCAGCACTGTCCTTAATTACTATGCCAAAAATGAGCGCGATCTGTCAGACAGTTCGTTTACGGCAGCTGTTGAAACCAGTTCACCTCAGTAGTGCGTTGCGAAAAAAACAATGGAAAAAAATATTGAACAAAGAGTTTGCATCAAATTTTGTTTTTCGAACGAAATTTCGTGTGCAGAATCGTTGCGAATGCTACAAAAGGCTTATGGGGAATCAGTTTTATCGAAAACTCAAGTTTATGAGTGGTACAAAGCCTTTCAGGACTGTCGTACGACCGTCGAAGACATGCCGCGTTCTGGACGACCTTCGACCTCTACCACCGACGAAAACATTGAAAAGGCAAAGGAAATCGTGTTCAAAAATCCTCATGTGAGTGTTAGAGAGATAGCACGAGAGCTAGGCATCGGTCGTGAGATGGCTCGTTTGATTTTGGTGGACAATTTGTGTATGCGACGTGTCAACGCCCGGCTTGTTCCGATTCACCTCAATTTGTTCAACATTATCAACGATTTTAAGGCCAAACATTCAATAAATACCATCGAACAGCCACCGTATTCACCTGATCTTGCACCGTGTGACTTTTTCCTGTTTCCCAACCTCAAATTACCACTCAGAGGAACGCGTTTTGAATCCATAGAAGACGTAAAACAGAATTCGCAGAGGGAACTCAAAGCCATACCGGAAAGCGCCTATAAAAAATGTTTTGATGATTGGAAGAAACGTTGCATTTGTGTATCGCTTCTAATGGAGCATATTTTGAAGGAGATAAATAAATATTGATGAAGATTAAGAATTTTGCGTTTTATTTATTTATGACCGGAAACTTTTCGGTCACAATGTATGATATACTTATGTATATATATATCCAATTTCGCAATATCTCACCCTGTTTACGTTTTCGATCCATACGCATTTTATGTTTGTAGTATTGAACTGTATCCACCGCACATTTTTGACAGTCTTTGCTTGTAAAACAACACCCTGTAACTGCTTTCAATTCTTCCGACAATGGATTATTGTGTAAATTCAAATAACGAAGTTTTGATAGTCTTCCAAAACTGATGGGTAAGTCGGTTAAACAGTTATCATAAAGAGTCAAACTACGCAGTTTAAATAATTGGCCAATGCTTGATGGCAAAGTAGTCAGTTTATTTGCGCTTAAATCCAATTTGATAAGCGTTTTCAATCTACCGAATGTATCATTTATGGATGAAATGCTGTTGTTATGTAGATCCAGAACCTTGACATTATATTTGGAGATTTCTAGTATTGGAATTTTGACTAGTTCAGCATGGCTGAGATTACACATTTCATTCGATACAGCTCTCTTCACTTTTTGAGCTTCATATTTTTTTTGCACTAACAAACGCATGTTTCTAATTTTGAATTTTGTAATTGAATTGAGTTAAATAATTATAATTTCATTATATTTTTGCCAAATACATTTATTTCAATATAATTTTGTTGCCAAAAGAACGCTTAAAAGGTTTTAAATTTATAACATAAAATTAGTTAGTTTAATTGTTCGTAATTAGATTTAGTTTGACAGAGTTTTCAAGGATTTAGAAACTACATTTTTATAAAAAAGAAATTAGAAATAGAAATTAGAAATTAGAAAAGTTGAAATAAGAGATCCGGAAACTAGGATAATAAATAGTGCAGACGTCATGAAAATGCTGTGAAAAAATAGAGGTGTGGACGCAGATCGAAAATCACAAAACATGGCTTGAAATGCCAACATAAAAGAGACCCTTCTCGAAGTAATGCGAAAGTGGTTCCGAGGGAGAATAAGACTCGCCGAAAAGGAGGTATTGAAGTTCGTATACTACATGTTCATGTTAGGAAGTCGGGAGCACCATTCCGAGAAAAATCGGTTTGACGGTGCATAAAGCATTCACCTCCTCACCACAAAAACAAAAAACAAAAATAGGCAGCTACTAACTGATCATCACATCTGTGGAGTATTCTTTTCTCCAATGCTTAACAAACAGAGTTCAATTTCAGTATACTAACTTAATGATTCTAGAAGTTACTTTATTTGCTAATATATAGTGAATCAGCCTACGAAGGTCATATTCCTAACATTTCCATATATTACATATTAATAAATTTAATACATTTTTATTAAAACTGTTTTATATGCCATTTCATGTTTTGTAATATTCAAAAAAACTTATAAATAAGCTTTCTAAAATTTTAAGCTGTAGTGTACTAGAATTTTTAACTAAAGCTCATTTCTAAGCTGTTTCTAAGCTTTATGTTTGCATGTCAAATACCGTATCAATAACAATACTGTCTAGACCGTAATATTACGATATTTGCTCATTGATTAAAGAAATTTAGTGGAGTCTCCAACCTTCATATGCAAAATTTATAAATGTACAGTATGAATATTATAGGTTTATTTTCTAAAGTTAAGAAGCGTCAATGACATTTTTTTTTCTTCGCTGCAGTACTTTTTTAAATTATTAATTTAAAGTTATAACAAATATTAAAAACAAATAGAATTACAGATTAAGAAACATATTCTGGAATAGAATATGTAGTTAATTTTTGATTCTAGACTGTTAAGTTAGATTACACCGACGATCCTTAGGATACCCTAAAGGCTATTGGGCCACTGTGTTACTGTATGAAAAACTAAAAGGTTTAAAAACTACCTTCAGCAAAACTTAAAAAGCTTTTTAGAGGGAGGTTCCGAAGTTGGCCAAGTATTTTAGAAAAAGGAAGTCGCTAGTATAGTTAATCGGCGCCATATATACGCTTAGCGGTAACGATGTCAGCGCGGAGCTCAAACGAAAAGTTACTATATCTTTCAGAAGGCTGTAGAAACATCTCATTTGAAAATTTACCCGCCATTTGTCACCCTTCCTATTTATGTTTTTGTACGGTGCAGAAGCAAGTACATTATTACAGAATCAAGGAGCAGCACTGACAGTGTTTGAAAGAAAAGTTTTTCGTGCTCCAGGAGTTGGACTACTATATCTAAATCAACTACGAATTATAGCAGCTTAATCATGACATTGTTCAGTAAATTAACGCTTAGTAGTTTCATTGGCTTGATTATATCGTGGATGGATGACGATATTTTAGCTTAAAATGTATTCGAAGTAGTGGTTGCGTTAGTGAAGTTATCAAATAGAGGGAGAACTAACCGTACTAGATGTACTTACAGGTCTTTCTAGATTAGGTAACCATGCTAGGAGATTGAATATCACCTTCAATTAATCCTGTTGCTACTGTGGGAATGACGATGAAGTACCTCTCATTTACTTTGTCTTTGACCAGTTAATGTACTCTATTATTGAGTCATGTAGTCACTCAACACTTTAGGGGCCCCCTGCTTCGAGGATCTTGATCAACTATAAGACCTTTCACTAAACAACATTTTGAACTTCGCTAAAGGCTCCAGGTGGTTTCAAACCTTCAGTTCCTCTATTGTATGGTAACATAATGACCCAATAGGGCTACGTAAATCTTTTTTGAATTGCCGGTATAATCCATCCCGACCCAAACAAACTCAACCTAATCTAACCGTGCTTGATGTACTGAAGTGAACATAGCAAAAGCATATTGAGAGGTGTTCTATGTCAGGTCGAAATCCGGTATAACGCGGGATATAACGGCCAAATGAGCAAACAGGGAAGCAAATAAGCTTTCTCAAAATAACAAAACATTGTGAAGAAATTTACTGAAATTTTTTTTTCATCTTCACAATTTTTAATTCATGCTTTCTCCACACATTAAACCCCGAATCTTCAGTGAATGGAAATTGTTAAAAATTTTTAATTTTCTTTAAATCAAAAATCCAAACTGAAATTACTGCTGGAAGTGACTTCAACTCATATTTACTAAGCAAAACTTCTTTTTCATAATTTCAACTTCGCTTTATTTGACATTTTATCAGAGATTCCTCAGAAAACGCTCCCAAACACTTTCAAATACAATCAAAAATTCAAGACGCACTGCAAATCAAAAGTTAAACTGATTTTTACGCCTGCGGTGAAATTTCGTTCGAGAAGCAGAGCTTTTTGTGCACTTTCAAGTGCTCATACCTACACACATGCACATCAGTGCCGCATTGATTCTGCACTCGTACCACTTGCCATTGCATGCATTGCACTGTCTGTGCTTGTTTGTGCATGTTTGTGCACGTCATTTACTGTGTGTGCACTGTACTCAAGATTTGTTTGCCGATAGAAGCGAGAAGTATTTTCAGTTGCACGCTGATGCGCTTTGCACATTTGAACATTGTTGCGCCTGAAGGATATTTTCGTGATTTCTCAAATTGACGACAAGGAAGTAAAGATGTGTACCAACGCTTGTCGCTTAAGTGAGGAACTATGTGAAAACAACATCTCACATATGTACCTATGAGAGGAAAAGTAAAAATTTCTTCCAAAAAAAAAAATAGAAAAATCCAAAGATAATTTTTGTTATTTATATTTTTTTTTTGGAAAATAAAAAATAATTCTAAAATGAAAAAATTTTTAGGATATATAAAAAATAATAAGGAAGTTTTTTAAACACTTGCTGACAGCATTAAAACTGTAAAACTGTAAGTGCAAATTTAAGAAATTAGGTCGTCTTCAAAAACACTTCCTTTATAAAATATAAAAAATTAACAACAAATAAAATAGAAAATAGAAAAAAAAATAAGAGAAATTTAAAAACAACAAGCAAAATAAAGTCTTGAAAAGTAAAACTCAAATTCAAATTCAAACATTAAAGAGAAAAGCAATTAGAGATAAGATCGCATCATTTACGACGGCCCACATTTCGGTTCTAAGGCAGCTGCAGCTTCAGTTTCAGCCAACTTATTCTGTTAGCTGCTGATGTGTATATATCTTCTGCACACTTCCAAACACTGGCTCACGTATTCATCTTGCCTTCGTGCCTTTCTGAAAGTGCTTAAGCAGTTTTTGTCTAAGAAAAGTACACACTCATTTGCTTGCGCACAAACTTTTGTCATTTAGATTGTATCTCAATAGTTTTGCATATACAGAATCCTCATCCTCTTGCCAGCATCCTCCAACTGAATGCAGTTGCATTTCACTTTGCTGCTACTTTTACTTTATGTACTTTTTGCCTAGTGACATGCTTTGATCAAACTGATAAAAACAAATTCTTAATGTGTTGAATTTAACACTTCAAGACATTAATTTTCTCTTTGAATGACCAACTAAAGGCTTAAGGAAATCTTATGAACTCACAGCAAATAAAACTATTACTTTTATTTTTTTTTATTATTTTTAATAAATTTCTTATATAAATTATGAATATTAATTTCTTTTACTGTGAAACCCCACCATTTCTTAAATAGAATGAACATGGAAAAATAGAATTCTATGCATTAATATTAAGTGTAAGTCATTTGAAGGAAAAAAAAAAATTTAATAGTGTTGATAAAAAATTTGAAATAAAACCTTAGAATATCAAACAAAAATAATACTTTTCAATTTATGTCGATAAGCTTAAGCTTGTTGGGGTTGTAACCTAGTATACTCGTTTACTATACAGGTTTATAACGATAAATAATAAAAAGCTTTCAGTTTAGCACTAATAACTTCTCGCTTGAATTGAGTTCTACCAGCTGGCAACACTATAACTATATATTTTCTGTGAAACGTGTATAGTCCCATACCGAAAAAGATATGCCTACGGTTGTTATTCACAAAAACACTATACAATATAGTGTACAAACCGATTATATTGTTTGTTTTTCGGGTAAAAGTAAGTATAGGTCGTTTACTGGTAGAAATGGCGACTAACTTTTAAATCTGTCAAGGATTATAATTATTGTAGCACCGCAGTAACGTACAACAAAGATTCACTCCGGAGATTACCCAAAGAACCATTGCCAATTCTTCATCATACATTTAGGTGCTACTATGGGCTCAATAGGAAATTGGGATATAGAGTTCTCTCTCTCTTTCTCTCTCTCTCTCTACAGACTAAACTTATGCTCAATAGATCACTCAGTCTATTTGTGGTTATTTATGTGGAAGCAACAGACATGTATTACAGAAGAAAGTTTACAAGTTCTTCGTAAGATCTTTGATCCTCTACGTGTTAGCGAAGGTTACCGCTTTCGAATGAACCACAAGCGGAATGAGCTTTACCACAACGTTGTGTATGGATCTTCAGCCATGCTTCAGTGAAACAGATATTTGAAACTGTTTTTGGACAAAAAAGACGTAAAGGCAGAGCGTGTCTACGCTAAAGTTATCAACTTCAGGAAGCACTATCCATAGTTCATGTTTAAGACCAGATAGGCGCGCACGTAGCAGAGGCGTCTAGAGAGCAAGTAAAATTGTTAATAAAAACTTTTATAGTAATAGTAACAAAACTCCAGAAAAATATGCGAACAAAAAAGTCAAGTACGGCTTTGGATCAGTTGGTTAAGGTGC